GGGGATGGGAAGGGACGGGATGGGAGGGGATGGGAAGGGATGGGACGGGACGGGAAGGGACGGGACGGGATGGGAAGGGACGGGATGGGAAGGGAAGGGACGGGATGGGACGGGATGGGAAGAGACGGGACGGGAAGGGAAGGGAAGGGATGGGAAGGGATGGGATGGGAAGGGACGGGACGGGAAGGGACGGGATGGGAGGGCAGGGGATGCAGCCGGACCTGCGCAGCCCTACCCGGGAGCTCCTGCTCGCTGCTCCTGCAGCTGGCGTGGTGGGGATTTTTGGGACACAGCAGAGCCTGCCTGAGAACTGGCTGGGAACCCTGGGACTGGGGTCCCTCCTGTCCCCAGCGGGGGGATGTGGCTGGGGCGCCCTTTCTGCTCACAGCGGTGGGGCAGGGCTGGGTCCCCTTTTCCCCGGGACAGGGTGCGGCAGCCCCAGCCCGCGGCTCCCCGGGCAGGGAAGGGGCCAAGCACGGGGCTGTGAGCAAGGCTTGGGAGCAAAGTGCTTCTGTCTGTCTCCTCCTCACCTGTCCTCACGGCACCTTCGTGCTCAGGGCTCCACTACAACCTCGCAAACCTACAGCTTGAGTTGATCCACATCATCTGAACCTGATGTATCCTGAGGCCCTGCCTGTGTGGGGTGGTGGGGGTGGGCGGGCTGGAGGGCTGTGAGTGTTGACACAGCTCTGAGAAGGCTCCCTGTGACCCCAGGAAGGCGAGGTAGAGAGATAACTTGATCTCGGTCTGTGCTGAGACCCAGCCCAGCGCTGAGAAGCTCTCACGTTCCCCAGTGTTTTTGGCTGGAAGCTCCAGCTGATCTGGCTCGGAGCCTGCCCTGGGGGTTCCTCCCCCGGGCCCTGATCCCCCCCCTTTCCCAGCCTTGCCCCCCGGGGCGGGGCAGCCCCCGGGCTCAGCCCGGCACTCACCGCAGAGGGCAGCGCAGCGGGGCCCCGCGGGACGCCCGCACACCAGGCTGCAGGGGATGCACCGGCACACGAGGCTGTCCCAGTACTGCTGCTCGCTGCAGTTGTTCATGGCATCCCGCCCGGCGCGCGTCCCATCCATGGCTGCGGAACGGCGGGTGGGTGGGTAGAGGGGTGGCCAGCACGGGGCTGTCCTGTGGCCACCTGGGCCGTTTGCCAGGCTGGGACCCCCTGGCGGGGTGCCCGGCTGTGCCCCGACCCCCTCTAGCCCTGGGCTTGGGCAAGAGCTTTCAGCAAAACCCGCTTCAGGCTTAGCAAGCCCTTCAGGTCGTGGCCCCGCAGGAGCACGTCCTGTGCCAGTCCCTGGGGACACGCGGGGACACCACCCTGCCTTACAGGTGGTCCTGTGTCCTGAGGGCCCAGGGATGTGCACAGCTGCCCGCAGAAGTAAGAGCAGTGGGAACTGCTCCTGCCTTTATATCCTTTTCTGAAGAGAACAGAAATCTGAGCAGAACAACCACTGGCAACGTCCTCTGAAACTGTTTTTAATTCTGGAAAGTTCTGAGTTTCTCTGTGGTGTCAGGGTGGTTTGTGCCATCCTGTGTGTGATTTCTGACACATCTCCCTGTGCTGTTCAGGCATCATAATGAAACCTGATTTTGATATGTGAAACTCCCCTAAGCTGCAGAAGGGGGGGTGTCTGTCTGGGAGGGCTTTCAGCACTGGTTTTACCGGCACCAACTGGGACACCTGGAGGTGAACTCGCTCTTGTCACCACGAGGAGCCATTTGTCCCATCCTCCCTGTGCCCGTGTGGGCTGGGGGTGATGGCACAGGAGCAAGGCAGCATCAGCAACCCTCAGCAGCACAAAGATCTAGCCAACAACTCAAAATAATAAGAATTAGCTTGCTAATGAGCAAGCTTATTAGCAGATTAAATATTTGTGCATGTCCCTGTCTTTGGGTGCCACACAGTAGGTTGAGGGAGGGATTCTCCACCTCTTCTCTGCTCTGGTGAGACCTCCTTACAGTGCTGGGTCCAGTTCTGGGGTCCCCAACACAAGAAGGACATGGAGCTGTTGGAGCAAGTCCAGAGGACACCACAGAGATTATCTGGGGGCTGGGGCAGCTCTGCTCTGGTGACAGAATGGGAGAGTTGGGATTGGTCAGCCTGGAGAAGACTCTCAGGAGACCATAGAGCACCTTCCAGTGCCTGAAGGGGCTACAGGAAAGCTGGGGAGGGACTTGGGACAAGGGCAGGGAGTGAGTATAAGGGGGAACAGCTTTAAATTGAAAGAGGGAGATTTATATTAGATGTTAGGAAGAAATTATTTGCTGTGAGGGTGGTGGGACACTGGAACAGGCTGCCCAGGGAAGCTGGGGCTGCCTTGTCCCTGGAAGTGTTCAAGGCCAGGCTGGATGGGGCTTGGAGCAACCTGGTCTGCTGGGAGGTGTCCCTGCCCATGCATGGGGCTGGAACTAGATAATCTTGAAGGTCCCTTCCAACCCAAACCAGTCTGGGATTCTATGATCTCTGTCTGCAGCCTCACTGGTGCCACCACAGGGTTTGTCCTTGGAGGCAACTCAAGGTTTGGTCTCAGTCCCTGTCTGTGCCCCTGCTAATCCCCCACTGCTCAGCACTACCTGCCAGTATGCTCTGCCCTGCCATGCCCTGCCCTGCCATGCTGTGCTGTCCCATGCCATGCTGTGCCAAGCCACGCTGTGGTGTCTGTGTCAAGCACAACCAAACAAGTGCAGGCTGAGCTAACCAGGCACGAGGGCTGGAGCTGCAGCTGTTTCCTGCTGGTGCTGACAGGACCCGAAGGGTTTCAATCTCCCTGACACTGCCACATAGCTCCAGGCTCCCTCCACTGCCTGCTCTGAACTGGCTCTTACCTGGGGCTGCATGTGTCAAACCCTCCTGTTCTCAGGGATAAATCCACTCTGCACAGCAACACTGGCCTCGCAGTCCCAGTTGTTCAATTAACATCACTATAAAATTAAATAATTACTTTCTATTGAGCTGACTGAAGACATTCCCCAGGGCAGAGTGTGGCTCAGAATGGTGTTCTCCTCAGATGCTCTTTGAAGATACTTTTTACCCAAAGAGAAGAAGGAGAAGAATTCCACAGATACTGGTGAGCCCTGGGGATGGTGGCGAGACTGGCTGCCCTTGAGTTACAATGGGGTTTCCCATGGGATAACTGCATGAGACATGGAGATCTGGGGCTGTGTCTAAGCTACAGGCTGGGCAGCTCCTTCCCTGCTGCTGCTCAGGCCTGTCTAAGCCAGGTATTTGGCCCCATCTAGCAAAAATCCTGCCCAATGGCTGAGCTCCCTTCCTTAGGGAGCCTCGAGGTGCATGTGGTTCTCCCAGCACAGTGCAGTGGGTTTGCAGCCATGCATTTTCTATCTCTGTCTCTGCACCCACCAGAGACCAGCACCCCAAACTCCCTTATGGACCCCTCATCCAAAGCATTAAGCAGCCATTTCATCTCCAGCCCCACGACACTGTCTGTCCTCAGCAGAGTCGAAGCCTTTTGTGGTGGCTCAGCCTCTCCAGCAAGAGCCCAGGACCACCCCCTGCTCCCTGCCAGCACCCTGGAAATGTCACCATGGCCCTGAGCCCTGGCAGGGATAAGCCCCTCACCCCCCTCTGCCCCCACAGCCCCTCCATGGGGTAACTCACGTTTGTCTCTCCCAGTTGTCTAGTCCCCCTCAGCTCCTGCCATGGCGCTGCGAGCTCCAGCCCCGCATTGCTCGAGGGGTTTATTATTAGAGATAGATTTGATTAGTGCCTGAGCCCTGCGTTTCCGGGGGGTTCCCCTCATCCCTTCCATGCAAATGAGCTGCACACACAGCTTGCTACATTGGCTCAGCAGGGGAAGGGTGTCCTGGGCTGGGCAGCCACGTGTCAGAGGGGTTTGCAGGGGTGGGGGGTCTGCAGCCCCTGCCTGGGCATTGCCTGGCTACCCAGGAACAGCAGAGCCACAGTCACCCTGTGGGGTGTTGCTTTGCTGAGATGGAGAAGCTATGTCAGAGCAAGAGGCCACACAGCTGCAGGGAATGTCACTGCCTGGGGCTGCAGGTGGAGAGGAGCAAGTGCCCCTTGTTAGGGCTCTGTGTCATGGCTGCAGAGCCCCACGGGTGACATCCCACCAGTGCTGCAGGGCACTGAGGGCCACCCTTGCCTGCTGGAGCAGCCACAGCTGATCCTGCCTCTGGCCAGGACCAAGCATCAATCTGTGCACCCATCCTTTCTCTGCTGCCCAGGGTGGTGGTTGAATCACCATCCCTGGAGATGTTTGAAAGACATATAGGTGTGGTGCTGAGGGACATGGTTAAGCATTGGACTTGGTAGGGTTAGGTTATGGTTGGTAAAGTTAGGTTATGGTTGGACTCGATTATTTGAAAGGTCTTTTCCAACCAGAATGACTCTGATTCTTTTGTTTTGTCCAGTGAAAGCTAAGTCATCCTGGTGCAGTTACTGTTTTCCCCATTTCCCACTGGCAGGAAGTTCATTTTGGGAAGCTTCTCCCCCCGGGCAAGACAATGACTCAGCTCAGCAGAGGCAGCTGAAGGGGGAAGGAAGAAGCAATACCTGATGCTTTCTATAAACATCAGCCTGAAGGTTTTTTTCCATTCAGCTCAAAAACTCCTACTTTGTGCTCACCATGGTGATCTGCAACTAAGAGAGACCAAAAGGCCACAGGCAGGGTGCAAAGCTCTGTCCATTGCAGGGACACTGGAGGCTGAACCAGCTCATGGGGAGCAAAGCCCAAAGTAGAGGAACCCAGCACCCTGTGGCTGCTCAGTCATTGTGGCCCACCATGTCCCAGCTCCTGCAGGAGGGAGGGAATCAGCATTGGCAGCATCCAATGGGCCATGGGGCTTGGAGTGAGGAGCAGGAGAGGACACACCATGGCCACAGGGACACCACAGCAGCAGTGCTGTGCTGGGGCTCTGCTCACGCATCTGATGCAAAGGATGAGACCATTGCTGGGCTTGAGTGTCCTGCTGGGAAGACCTGTGGAGAATCCCAGGAGGGAGCAGGAAGGCAGAGGCATGGCTGGAAGTGGGTGTTGCATGGTGCAAGGATTTGGGGGAAAGATGCACCTTTGCATGGAGCTGGTGGCCATCCATGGGCAGACTCACCCCCCTGGCACTGTGCCCCATGCAGGCGACAGATCCTACAGCCCATTGGCCTGTGGAAGCTACACCTGATGGCAAAGGAAACCAGGGTTTTGGCATCACCTGCACTGCCTGAGCCTGGCAGAGCCTGGCCCCATGGCCACAGCCCTGCTCTCCAGCTCTCGGGGTTTTGCAGGGGAAACCTGCCTCTGTAAATAGCAGCAGGAGACTTGCAGTTTCCACCCTGGTGTGCCCTCAAGAGGGAAGTGAGAAGTACTTGGGGGTGGTTTGTCCCTGCTCGCTGAGCAGAGATCAGGCAGTGTGATTTCAGCTTGAAAATTCTTGGTGTGTGCTGTGGGCAGAGCTTCATCTCCTCAACCGTGTGTCCCAGCAGCATCTCTCTCTCCCACAACCTCTGAGGACCACGTGTGGCTCTTCAGCATCTCCAAACGTGGTCCCCCATGAGCTGCCATCTCACAGCCAAGGTGGTGGCTGCCAGCCTGCCCTGCCTGGGGTCATCCCTGTGCTCTGGGACACAGGCAGGGATCAGGCAGCAGCCACCAGCACTGTGCTCTGGATTCATGGGTTAAACCTTTCCTTTGTTTCGTGCTGCTGGGGGGAGAGCACCAACTGGCAGCTCCTTGTGCAGCCTCCCAGTGTGGTGCATCCCTCTGCATCCCACAGCATCCCCTTGGCATGGGGATGCTCCTTCACCACCCATCTGCATATGGCTCTAGATGTGCCACTATCTCTCTGTGGTGATAGAGCCCCATTTTATCCCAACAACACCACCTTTTTTTCCCTCTGGGCTCTTCCCCCGGTGCCATTGCTGCAAGGGGAGGTGCAGGTAACAGGCAGACAGATGGTATTTGGCTCTGAAAACGTTTTTGGGATGCTTCTCCTTCCCTTTGGGCAGCTTTGCAGGGGTATTTCCCCCCCAGCTCCCCCTCGGCCCCCCTGCCTTTTGCTGTCCCGGTGCTCAGGCAGGGCTGAGCCTTGGCCAAGGCGTTTG